AGTTCATAGTACATGAGATTCAGAAAGCACACTCTCAGAGAGAGGTAAGACAGCCTCGCTATAATATGGCACTGGGTTTGAGCTCGGTCGACCGCAATCGGTGAGACCTAAGGGTTAAGTCGTCATAGATATTTTTGATGACTTTGGAAGCAGGAGTTTTGAGATGTCTGAAAACTTTTGCTAGGATCGTCCCATATCTCCTGGAGGACATTCAAAACCTCGGATGAGGATATTCAAAACCTCAAGTTCCTCCTCCTTTGCTTCCAGAAAATGTCGGGCCTCACAATTAACTTCGCCAAAAGTGAGGTGATGGTCCTGGGATACTCCCAGATGGAAGCTCAGCGCATTGCCAACTGCCTGAATTGCCGTTTGGAAACATTTCTGACCACTTACCTTGGCATGCCACTTAGTGTCACACGTCTACTAGAGAAGGACTTTCGTCCAATAATCGCCAAGCTCCAGCCTAGGATGGAGCCCTGGCAGGGGAGATGGCTGTCTAAAGCCGCTCGAGTGATTCTGATGAACTCCTCCCTTATTAGCCTTTTGATGTATATATATCATGGGATTCTATAGTCTTCATGAATCCCTTCATCAGAAGGTCACCAAACTTCTCTCCAGATTCTTCTGGGCTGGAGAGAACAATAAACAGAAATATCACATGGTAAAGTGGTCTGAGATCTGTAAGCCTAAAGACCAAGGAGGCCTTGGGGTTATTTCTTCCAAGCGGATGAATATTGCCCTCCTCTCCAAGTGGCTTTGGCGCATTCAGACTGATGAGGGCGGCATGTGGCTTGAGGTTATCCGCGCGAAGTACCTTCGCGGGCAACCACTGGCTTTCACCCCTAGATCCGGTGGGTCCCAAATTTGGCAATCGGTGATCCATCCGATGCCGGTCCTGCGCATTGGGACCTCCATTAAATTAGGTACCGGATCTGGCACTCTGTTCTGGCTAGATCAATGGGTAGGGACCCATCCCTTTGCGGTCCGCTTTAACGCGCTCTTCGCGATCTGCGTCCGCCCACAACTATCTGTGGTCGTGGCCTTAGCTGACTTGGGCGCTATTGCCTTCCGCCGTACCTTCAGGGCGGTGGAACTCGAGCAATGGGATGAATTGCTCGAGTGTATTGCCCTCCACCCCTCCTCCCTGGAGCCCGATTCGATATCTTGGCACCTCGAGCCAAGTGGCAGATTCTCGACTAGATCCCTCTACCGGGCGATTGTTCCCACTCCTGGCCCGGTGGAACTAGCGGTCCTTTGGGAGATCAAACTCCCCTTGAAAATCCGCATATTCCTCTGGCAATGGGTCCGCGACCGCCTACCTTCGGGTACGGAGGTCCGCAAACGTAACGGCCCTGGGGATGGCCTCTGCCCAATCTGTTTGATACCGGAAGACTGCAATCACATCTTCTTCCGATGCCCTGTGGCGCAATTCCTATGGAGCTGCTTCTGGGAGGTGGTTGGTGGCAGCTGGTGCCACGACAACCTTCCGGACTTATTTGGGGAGGTTCTTAGGCTCCCCGGTTCTAGCCGCCCCCCACCTGGGTGGCCGTGGGCACACTAGCATGGACCCTTTGGTGTAACTGTAATAAACTAGTCATAGAGCGCGTGATTCCATGCTGTGTGACTGATGCGATCTATAAAATGTGTGACTTCTTATAGCTTTGGAGACCGCTTAGCAAGCGGCGAGACCGGGACGCCATTGACAACATCATAGCTGGTCTTCGTTCTTCGGCGTCGGCATTTGCTCCTCCTCCGCCACCACCACCTCCACCTCCCGAGCCGGATTAGCTTCTGTTTTAGCTTTATTTGGGGCTTGCCTTGTTGTGCCTCCAGCGTGACTTTATGACTTGATTGTACTCTGTACTGCTATGTTGGATACTTGGTTCGTTGCTTTATAATATAAAGCGGGAGAAAACCCTTTTTCGTAAATCTCCGGAGGACGATTAGCACAACCAACATTGTGAGGGAGGGTGGCAGACCAGCCGGCGGTGTCTGGAACTATATGTTCGTGAAGGGTGAGCTCAAGGGCGTGAAGCCAATGGCAGCCCAAACATTGGTAGCAGCTGCGCAGGAGAAAAACAGGTGCATGCGGTCTTCCTTGACCGAAGAGCACATAGGGAAGGTTGCATTGTCTTGTAGTGTCTTCCAGTGTAAGTTGCTGACATCTTCATATGCTTGCATGAAAAAAAAGAGATGTAGTCACTGGAAGAAGTGGCCCTTGACGTACTTCCTTCCACCTGGAAACTTCCTCAAAGTATATCCCAGAGAAATAGGGAAAATTTCGATGCATTTTGTGATGATCTGACGCAAATAAAAGCTCGCTAGAATTCTTTCTGCCTCGTAAATTGCTTTTAACAATTGTATGTGAAACAAAAATGTCCTATATTTTGTTACAAAGTGAGTATATATCTATTTATAAAAAATGTTCAATCGGGTGGGGAGTAGGGAGGTGGATTCTTTTTAGAAAACAGGCACAAGGGGTACCCCGATCTAAATTAAACGTTAAGTCCTTACAAACCCAGCATAAGGATAAAACATAGTATAAATCATGACTAAAAACGAGCGCAAAAGAAAACTTAAGGCTCGACATATCCCACTCAAGGGCTCCTATGGATAGCGTGAAGATCTTTGATCTTGAGAAGGATGTACGCCACCACCTCACAGTTCTTCCTCTTTCCTATTGGACGCCATTGCTGAAAAAATAGAGAGAATTTAGATATATAGTTATTTGGGTGGGACGGAATGGATCCCTCAATGACAAGTTTGTTAGGAGTGGTCCAAAGCGCCAAGATAAAGC